AAAAAAAAAAAAAAAAAAAAAAGAAATGTGTTGGTACGTGTATCCAATTTGGCTTTTCAGTGATTAGAAATAAACTACCCATACTTCCTATGTTTTATTTGTGGAGAAAAGCTTGCAAGTAGCAGCATGGAACCATTTCTTTAGTCAATTTAGAAATAAAATAGGACAATCATAAAATCTGTTGATTTTTTAAGTACAAATTGCAAGAATTCCAAATTTAAGGTTAAAAACTTAGTTCTTATCAATTGTGATGCCCTAAACATAATTTCAACCTACATTGTAACATCTATTCATCTTAAAACACCACAAAAATGTTTTATCTTATGTTAATGTAATTTGGTAAGCAGGGAAAAGGCTGCAATTTGATTTAATGTATTTTGTTCAATGTATTATTAAACGAACTCTATACGTAATTTTAAAATAAAATATATCTTACTTAAAATCACTCCTTTTTCATACCACACAAAAACTACTTTAAAAAATTAAGGTTAAGAAGTGCCGATTTTCTGTACATGACCCACACACAACCTTTGAAAGACCTGTTTGTAAATAAAGGACTTTGGCATTGCAAATTTACTTTATTTTAATAATCTCCTAAATCCCAAAAGGTAGCATGTATGAAAACTGGGTCCCAGTGAACAAAACTGCAAAGCTGTTTTCTGGTTCTACAACTCCATAGTCAATGCCTCTACAGAACATTCACTTAGCCAAAAAGTGGTGTGCCAAATCTTCATACTTCGTTCCCCTATATTCTCCTTCCTTCAGTTTAAATCCCCACCACCATAACAAAGTTAGGGTGCAAGTTCACACACTTACCTTCAACCAGACTAGTGCAACAGCTCTTCCCACTCCACACTGTATTTCATATTGATTTATCTGTTGATTATGATATTCCTTTAAATAAAAAAAATCTTTCAAAGTACTCAGAGTTTTAACAATGAGGTCAAAACTCCTGAGCCTATGATTCAAGGTCCTTCCATATTTGAACCTTGGCCTACCTAGTCTCATCTCCTACTGTACTCTCAATGCTAGGGTCACATATTTCTCAGACTACACCATACCTGCTTCTGTTTCAGCTACTATGCTCCAGCTGGAACCTTTGCCAAGAATGGTTTTCCTTCCTAAACTCTTACCCAATAAAACCCCAATTGTTAAAACACCCCAATCCAAATGTCCCCTTCTCAACACAGCTTCCCTGACTTTCTGATCAACTCCAAAGTCACTCATTCATTCAACAAATATTTATTGAACACTTATTGTGTACCAGGCACCATATAAATGTTATAGATACAATGAGCCAAACAAACATGGTGTCTACTTTCATAGAGCTAGTACTTATCTCACTGGGTTGCTATGAGGATTAAAAAAGATAAAATATGCAAAGCACTTAAACCAAGGCCTGCCTATACATCGTCACATTCAATAAATATTACCTATTAGTGTTACCGCCTAATCATACTATCTAAAATAATGGTCACACACACATATATGTATAATTTTGTACCTTACCTGGATTTATTTCTTCTTGGTATTTAATACTACTTTTCATTATATACTTATTTGCTTATTGTCTATCCTCCCCACCAGGGACCACATCTTTTTTTTAACCTGTACTTTTTTAACCCAGTGCCTAGGACATCACCTGGCCCTTACTAGATGGTCAAAAACCACCTCTGTAACAGTGATTTTTATGGTCTGAGGGTATAAATTAACCAAATAATCAGAGCAAAAAATATAAAATTACAGTTGATATGTATTCTATAAAAGAGGATTATAGAATAGAAGGGTGTGACCTTGGTAGGCAAGGGAAACTTAGGAGTTCCTCGAGTTCTTTGAGCTGAGAACTCCAGGATACGCAATGTTAAGCAGGCTAGAGAGAGCACGACCACAGGTCATTCACATGTGCCATTCCCTCTTCCTGGTTTTCCACAACTCCTATAATTTAATCCTTCAGTTTTCTTCCTGAAAGTAAGATCCTCTGGGAAGCCAGACTATCTCATACATGATCCCACAACTTTTCCTTTCTTAGCACTCTTCACATTTAAAATTACTCTTACTGTGATGTGTGTTGTATACACACACAGATACAAAAAGGGACCACATCCATTTTATTAATTGTAGTATCCCCAATGTCAACATAGTCATTTGCACTAAAAAAAGAATGTTAGATGAATAAAAAGTAAGGACTATATTTTAGACCAGTGGTTGTCAAAGTGTGGTTCACAGACCAGAAATATCAGCACAACATGGATACTGGTTTGAAATGGAAACTCTCAGACCCTGCTCCCTACCTAATAAATCTCTCTGGAAGTGGTGGCCCACAAGCCCTCCAGATGATTCTGATTCATGGTAAAGTTTGAGACCCCCTGTCTTAGACACTGCAACTATTCAAAACACAATGTAACAGTGGAAGTTTTGAAAAATATAAAATGCAAAGCTTTACAATAATGCCCAACTCTATTGAGTGCCTATAACACATATATTGCACAAGGAAATAAAAAAAGTAGCCTCTACAGATAATTCGCAGCTCATAACAAGCTAATATTTTGTCTTCTCATTTCTTCCATACATACACTTATTCTGTGTGTTTTAACAAGGAAAAATCAAGTTAGTTGGAGGCAAAGACTAACCCATAATCATGCCTAATACAGCTTTCTAGTCTCATTTCCTAATATTTCCTAATATGCATCCTCATTCCCACATCACTCCATGCTATACAAAGGTAATTCTGTTATATACAATATGGAATTACTTTCTACTAACATTCTCAAGGAAGTATTCATCCCCTTCCCAAAACAATCTACTGAAATCCTATTCATCTTTCAGGCCCAATTCAAATGATACCCTTGGATCCTAAATACCCAAAAAGGAATTCCTAACTTCTCCCTCCGTACTCATCCATTCATTCTCAAGGGGAGAGCAAACACTCAAAAATCTAGCAATTGGGTGTCTTAGGTAGGAACATCTCTTTACTCTGCAGAGATCATTACATCTCACTAAATTTCCTTTTGCACCAAAAATAAGATTCTCAAACTCACTCTTTCTGTGTAGTCCAACAGTTGTGTCAAATTTCAGTTTAATATTACACTAGTTAAATAGGAAAATGAAACCATATGTGGCCTGGGTACTGGGAATAGCAGAAATAAGTAAGGCACAATTGCTGCCTAGACCTCATGTTTCAGGGGAAGAAGAAGGAGGTTAACACACAATGACAGTGTGATGGATTGTAAATGTGAAGGGTTGTTGTAGAGGCAGACACAGGAGAATGACAACTTAAAAATGTAGTCAGTGAATTAAGGAAAATTCACAGTTTAAGTGATTTTATAGTAAGTCACTTTTTCCTAAAAGTCAGTTGGGGGAAAAATGAAAATTTATTAACCTCCTAGGAGAACATGATTTCCAGGACTTAGTTTTGACAAGCATGTGTTATTCCTTCAAGAGACCAAAATTTAGATTGCAGATTGCTGCATGTGATGGGGCAACGTGTTCATTAAACGTACTGCAAACCATGTGCAACCCGACTCAATGAAAAACCCATTGAAACCTCAACCTATTTTGAAACAGGAAGAAGGAAATTTGCAAATTTAAGGGTCTCCCAACTAAAGGCAGAGAGACCAAAACAAATGAAGGTATTAGAAGGTATTGAAGAGACTATCACAGTCTGACCACCAAGATGATTTTCAGTTTTCAGACACCCTGGTTTATGCCTCCAAACAAAAACCATTGGTTCTGAGTAATGGTCAAGCCTGTAATACATATTTTTAAATTTCTGAAACTCTACCTCCACATTAAAAGACGCTCAGAATAAAAATACATTTCAAAACATTTTCAGTAATTTCTGTCAAAAGGCTAGATATAAGGTCACAGTATGTATACAGGCCCTCACCCCATCAATCCAAAACACACTATCACTCAGGTTTTGCAATGACACTAGGTAATAAGGTTTCTGGGCTCTCTGCAATACCTCCTCTCTCCCCTTTCCCCTCTACAGAAAAAAAAAGAAGAAAAAAGCCTACGATTCCCTATCGGCCCGCCCTACAGCTCCTGGGAAGCAATGCCCTCAAATTGTTCCTGCTTAGACCCCTGAAGCCCGTAGAAGGAAATGGGGACAGCCGTGAGAGCGGGGGAGAGAGGACATCCGATAAAGGGGGGAGAGGAAATGGGGGGGGGGCGTAGAGGACGAGAGGAATAAAGGACACGGAAAGAAGGGGGCAGTGAAGATACAATGGTGAAAGGGGATAAGGAGCTAGAGCAAAGAGCAGGAGCGAAAAATAGGGAGGAAAACGAGGGAACGAGTAGAGATTCCAAAAGAGAGAAAGGGGCAGAATGGTAGGGGAGAAAAGGAAGGTCGGGTTAAAGGACGGGAAGAGGGCGACAAAGGGGAACGTGAAAGAAGCTGTCACTTAAATGACCAAAAAAAGGATGTCACCGGGGAGGTGACAGATTAAGGGGGGGTGAGTGTCACCCCAGCAGGTGGCGAGGGAACACGGGGAACGAGGAGCGGGTCAATAAAGAGGCGGTAACAGGGGGTTAGGTAAAGGCAGGGCGCAGAGGGGGCATCGGAGCTAGGGAGCGGCAGGCCCGTGGGAGCCAGGGTGGCGGGCGGCCGTGGCTCAGGCAGGCCTCGCTCCCTCACCATGGCTGAGCCGGTCTGGTCCTCGGGCATGCAGCCTCCGTCCTGGGTTCGGCGGCGGGCCGGGCCTGAGCCCACCCCCAGGCTGAGCGGGCGCGGGGGCTCCAGGAGGCTCCGGCAAGCAGCGGCTCCGGGCTTGGCCCAGGCCTCAACCTCCTCCCCTCAGAAGCTGGAAGTGCACCAGCCGCAACCGCAGCCCCACCGAGAGTGCAGACTCCGCCCTCATTAGGGCCCGCCCCCACTCGCGAATCGGCGCTCGGCCCCGCCTCCGCTATCACTGCGCAGCCGCAGCCGAGGAGTGTCTACCCGGCATGGACCTCTGGATTCTCTGCTTGCCAACCCCTTAAAGGAGACACATCCCCTCAAATCCTATCTTCCCTTTAAGAATGAGAGGTTTGAATATTACGTCATAACAGGAGCTTAGAGCACTCACTCCTTTCAGTAACCTATAGACCCCTTTGCCTCTGGTTCATTGTCATTCATTACTATTTTCATACACTTCGTGATTTCATCTCTCTTAGATGATGCTTCCCGGCCTCTTAAGGTTCCTATGCCTCAGGCTCTCATTTCAGTGCACGTACCTGAGATCTTCTCATTACCAATAATTGTAACCCCTCTGCAATCTCCATTTTAATCATCCAAATCTCCCACCACGACTCCCTTTCTAGTTCTCTCCCTCTTATACCCAACTCTAAAATTCTTCTATTCTGCGAAGACTCAAAATCCACTGATCCTACTATTCACTATTCCTCACGCTACCCTTACATCCTCACTTTTCTCTTGAACAGCTTAGATTCTGTTGTCCATCATGAAAATCACTCCCAGGTATTAACCTTCATTTCTCCATTCCTGTTCTCCTTTCCTTGTACTCACCTGATGAAACACTAATCCTAAACCTGCAGCAAACCAGGGGAGAATGGAAAAAATCCAAAACCATAGTGACTGGTTACCCTCTAAATCTGATATCATTATTCTCTAAAGGCCCCTAATGCTTGGCTATACTACTACATTCCTTCAGTTCCATACACTCTCCCACCCTACTAGATAACCGTCTCCTCTCTCTCTCTTCAAACCTTCCCCCCTCATCCTCACTTAACTGTTGATTTACTACCAATTCACAGAAAAAAATGAAGCAAAAAAAGACCATCTTTTTTCATATTCATAATTTTCATATTTACATACAGGGCTGAAATCAGTAAGAACAAAAACCCATGGGGTAAAATATGCAAAAGATACAAACTGATAGTT